ATTTTTGGGCCTTGGATGGGCCAATTATGGATTTTTAGGGGTCAATTTCACGTAAAATTTTCCGTGCTTTTCAATTCTGATGCGATTCATCCGCAATTCGGTCGGGAACCGTGACTTTTAGCATCGTGAACCCCCCTTTACCCCCCAAGGGAGGGTGGAGGGGTTTCGGGACCACGAAATTCGGATTCCTTGGGGTCGTTTCCCTATTCAACCCCGCGGTCCGCGACTTCGTACGACCTAAAACAACCGAGAAAAAGGCCTGGTACGGGCGGTCTGAAACACCCTGTACAAAAACGTGTGTCCGTTAATGTAGGTATAAATAAATAATGTGAAACTTATCAACATTTTACTGCAAGTGCATTCTTTGAATCTGGTCGTAGCTTCGAACATTTTTAAGTTTCTTCAAATCCCAGAAAGTTTGACCCGGCCCGATAAGTAGGCACTCATTTAAGTATTAGGTACCTATACATGCCTTTGTCACCACATCTTTACCGCTATTCCGAGTACATTTTGAAAACTCCATAAAATTCATTTATCTTTTTTTGTCAATGTTAAAGCCAGAATTAAATAATCTTAGATTATTTTGTCTATACTTTATTGGAATTTTAAATCATTTTTACTTTCAGTATGAGAGACGGTTCTCACATGAGCCTCCTTGATTTACGCATTAACCTTAATGATATGGGTGTCAGATTGGATAATCGAATGAGTGATAATATACCTTTGAGAGGCACATATGAAAATCTGTCCTTTAACCAGACTTAAAAAAAAAAACAATTTAATCTATGATCATACTATCTTCCTATGAAAAAGAAGAGGCATACGTTGGTAAAGTTATGGCGGCGATGGCCCACGGTCTTTAAATGATATCTGAGAACCAGCTGATAAACAGAGAGAAAAGGGAAATATTTGAATATTTAATATATTTAAATGATAATTGAGGTGGTATTTGCTGGATTAACCCGAGTGCTAATGAACGGACAATATATTTAAATGATAATTGAGGTAGTATTTGCTGGATAAACCCAAGTGCTATTGAACGGTAGCAGGTGGGCATCTGTGTAGCCAAAGAGATACATGCGAACAGGTTTAACATAGCGAAATAACTCCTCATCGGTCGCGAGGGTAGGATGGCCGAGTGAACTACGGCGTCGGAATCTCACTCTTCCTGGTGCGGTGGCGAAGGTTTCAGGATCAAGTCTCAACAAGGGCGAAACGGAGTTCTCCTTCAGGATACCAGAGGGAGCGCGAAGCGCGTCAACTACGTGAAAAAAATTAACTCCGGCGGTACCTACCAATGATAGTGGAATGCTTCAACGGATATGGACACTAAGCGGGGGGAGTCGATCCTCGGGGCAACGACGCGGCGGGGCTGACCGTTTCCTAGTTTTAAGGAAACGCTTGCACGTAAAAACGCTTTGCAAAACGTTTCCTTTTTTTGAGGAAACGTTTCCTGAAAACAACACAACACTTACTTATTTTTAGGATACTCTTCGCGCCGGGGTGTTTCCTAATTTGAAGAAACGTTTTCGTGCTTCAATGTAACAGGAGTTTTGGTTCAAGAAATCGCGTTTTCGTCGACCAAGGCAATACCGTTTTCTTCATCTAAGACTTCGTTTCTTGTCCACTTTTTTTAAGTATCAAATTTTCTTAGATCAACACGGCGTCGCCTTGAATTTAGGTAATTACATGAGGTAAGTGGTACATAATCGATCAAATGACCAGGAATATTCGTTATCCTCGTAACATTGGCGCAACGCTCCATGACCGACCTCTCCCATTGACTCGATCCACCGTGCGTCGCTACTAGTCGGAGGACTGCAATACAGGGACTGCCGCCCACTTTAAGGACGGAAACATCCATGAAACCCCCGCTGCCCCCCTCATTTTTCGTCGCGGAGCTCGTAAATACCGGGAAATTCGCCAGAAATATTGCCCGAAACTACTGTCCAACTTGACGAGGACCCTTGGAACGTCGCTACTAGTCGGAGGACTGCAATACAGGGACTGCCGCCCACTTTAAGGACGGAAACATCCATAAAACCCCCGCTGCCCCCCCCCCTCATTTTTCGTTGCGGAGCTGGTAAGAACCGGGAAATTCACCAGACATGGTGCCCGAAACTACTGTCTAATTTGAAGCGGACCCTTGAAACGTTGCGACCAGTTGGAGAACTGCATGCAATACAGGGACTGCCGCCCACTTTAAGGACGGAAACATCTATAGAACCCCCGCAGTCCCTGTATTGCAGTCCTCCGACTGATCGCAACGTTTCAAGGGTCCTCGTCAAGTTGGACAGTAGTTTCGGGCAACATTTCTGGCGAGTTTCCCGGTATTTACGAGCTCCGCGACAAAAAATGAGGGGGGCATTGAGGGTTATATGGATGTTTCCGTCCTTAAAGTGGGCGGCAGTCCCTGTATTGCAGTCCTCCGACTAATCGCAACGTTTCAAGGGTCCTCGTCAAGTTGGACAGTAGTTTCGGGCAACATTTCTGGCGAATTTCCCGGTATTTACGAGCTCCGCGACGAATAATGAGGGGGGCAGCGGGGGTTTTATGGATGTTTCCATCCTTAAAGTGGGTGGCAGTCCCTGTATTGCAGTCCTCCGACTAGTAGCGACGTTCCAAGGGTCCTCGTCAAGTTCTGCAGTGGTTTCGGGCATCATTTCTGGAGATTTTCCCGGTTTTACCCGCTGCGCAACGAAAAATGAGGGGGGCAGCGGGGGTGTTTTGGATGTTTCCCTACTTTAAGGGGATGGCAGTCCCTGTATTTCGATGCTCCGACTGATCGCAACGTTTCAAGGGTCCTCCTCAAGTTGGACATTAGTTTCGGGCATTATTTGTAGCGAATTTCCCGGTTTTCGCCCGCTCTGCAACCAAAAATGAGGGGGGCAGGGGGCTAAGAGTTTTGAAAACTCACTTTCAAGTCGCAGGCTACGTTTGCGTTAACATTGGGAAAAAGTTCCACCCGGACTTGATGCTAAGTTTGAAGCTCTTCTGTGACTTTTCGCATTTTAATGCAACGTTTCATTGTAACAAGCCTATCCCCCCCCTACGAAGGGGCTGTGGTGGCCCGGGGGCAATATGAAGACTTCTGTATCAGACTTGGAGTATTTGAGCACCGTTTGAAAAGAGAAACGGTATGTCCAAGAGCCGCCGAAGCTACTCCAAAAAATGAAGGTACGGACCCCCCTAACTTTTGATAGGGGGGTCATATCGACTTCCGGTTTGCGCCAAAAATTTTCTTTTTTCATGCTCTTTCTAACGATGTATCACATGATAGGGGTTGCCATTTGAAATTTTGGAGTTGCTCCCCGCCCCCTCTCCCCCTCTGGGGCTGAAGAACTGGAAAGTACCTAAAAAAGTTTCCCCCTCGATATGAGGAAAGACGCCACAAACCGCAAATCGATATCATAATTAGAACTAAAGTTATGGCCAGTGGTGCGTAACTTTTGAATAACCCTGTATATAAATTGTATTATTCCTGTACCACTGCATTGTCACTGTAGTATGCTTTCCCAGACCCTAGCCAACCCTGAGCTTCCGTAGGTGTAGGAGACAAAGGTTGGCGCCCGAAGTCCAGTTATTATAGCATTTTTCTAGAGTTGAGAGAAATCCTGTGTCCTCCTAGCCATGTGACGGGAAGAGTGATTTTTTTCCCCGTTACACCGTCACAATCTTATAAATCATTATTAGTCGATGAAAACTTAGGTGACGATCCATGAGAGTATGTATGATAAAACTGTAGTGCCAAACTTTAATTTTTCCACCCTCAAAATTTGACTAAAGTTCCGTTAAATAGGGTGTGTGGACCACACCGCAGTGTGCTCCAGGATTCGACAAATAGTTCATAGCACACTCGTGTACATTTACTAGTACTTAGATCTTCAGTTCCTTAAGCTCGCCCAATCCTTGCTCTCGCTTACCTACTGTTCCCATTCTCAAATCTTTTCTTCATTTTTCTCCCCCCTCCCCCTTCCCATCTGTGACGGTATATTTTTCCGTCACTTTAAGTTTCAGATGATTAATCACCTGGGGGCAAAACTTTAATTTTAATCCTTGCCGAAATTTAATGATGTATTTATGTTGTAATAACTTCGATGGCTACAGCTGCAGCGTTGAGCGCAGCAAGAGATTGCGACAGTAGCGCATTCTATAGGAACGGCGGAGTAGCGAAGCACCGCAGTGCACCGGTCGATCGAGCGCCACTCGAGCGCTCTCGCGGAGTGATCTGGAACCTGTACCCGGCTGGTCTGCGTGTGCACGACGTCACAGTCGCTCAAATTCTTAAGAAAAGTCGGTTAGGTATTTATTATTGTAGCTTAATTAATTGATTGTTTTTACCAAATTTACTGAAGAAATTGTTGAAGCTGACCTAAGAAAATAGTTTAATGTAAGAAAAAAATTATTTAATTGTATATTTAATTTACTGGAGTCGAATGAAGTTGGTCGACGCCTACTAAAGCCAGATTAAATGGATTTGATGGAGTCCCGACCGGTACCTCACCGTAGTTATCCGACTGAATGGAGTTAAACGCGAATTTCTTCACTTTCTTCGGATCCTTTCTTTTGTGACGCTGTGCACGTAGTGAGTAGCACGCTCTCAAGAGAAAGAATCGTACCTCACGCTAATTATTTACTTGTGTGACGCATACATTTTGGAAAGCTCGTATTGTAAATAATTACTTAAGCTTTCAATTAGTTATTTTGAAAATTAATTCATTTTCATTTCATTGGCATTCATTTATATTCGAAAACCGACTGTAGGTATTTTTTTTATGGAAAATAATTTTCTCATAACCGATCAACTTCCAAGTGTTCACGTGTTGAGTAGCACCTGGGATTTTGGTTGTTATTTGAATTTATTTTGAGAATATTTATTTTGAATCTTAAATCTACCATTCAAGATTGAGTGCACGTGGTGAGTAGCACCGGTTTTCTGGAAAATTTAAGATCAAATAAATAAAACAAATTTTAATTGGAAAGTCTGAGAATTTCGTCAGTTTCGTTACGAAAGAAATTTGTATTTAGTTGAATTAAATTTTTGCACTTTCAAAATTAAATCCCTCATAGCGTGTCAAAGTCCAAGTATGCACGTGGTGAGTAGCACCTGGGGTTTTGGTCGCTATTTGAATTTATTTTGAAAATATTTATTTTGAACCTTAAATCCGCCATTCAAGATTGAGTGCACGTACCTAGTGAGTAGCACCAGTTGTCTGAAAAATTTATGCTCAAATAAATAAACAAGAGAGAAATTCATTCGAAAGTTTGAAAACATTAAATGTCCCTTTTACCGTTTCTTTTAAAGTATTTCTAAGCAGAAATCCAACAAAATCAATCCGATCAACTCATTCGTCTTCAATCATCCTATTCTGATCTCGCATTTAGTTTATTTTTTTGAGAAATTTAAGTTTGTAATTGTGCTTAAGAAATTTTTTTCTTTTCTCGTCAATAAAATTGACTAGTATGTTCAAATTTACTCTCATTATTCCTTACTGCTAATCCTGTCCTTACTTCAGGAAAATCACCTCATTATTTTTTTGAGTACGCACTTCAAGTGTGTTGGCGCCCGAACCCAAGGCATCCCGACGAGCATCTGGCACCCTACAATTGTGGCTTGATCTGCTGAGGCTCGATCCTTTCCAGAGCTTGCTTTCTGACGATCGTGATCGTACAAGTTCTCACTTTTTCTCGCTACACCTCTCACCCTTGAATCGTAAAATGATCTGCCTGCCACTCTCTGCCGCCCATCGACCGTTTGTTCCAAAACATGAGGAAGTTGCTCGACTGTTTTTATCGTTCAGCAGTGACAGGTATGTATTTTTTTTTCTAGGGCTGTAGGTAAGTAATTTTTGTTTTTTCTTTGATTGTTGCAAGAAATCGTACAACAGTAGGTATCTCATGGAAGACAATAAATGTTCGCTGATTGAAAAAAAAAAAATTAAAGATGATACCGCGCATCCAAGCAAATCGCTAAGTCATTTCGATGGGAGACTCAGCTCAGGGAAGATGAGAGGGTAAGGGTTCGTGTCAGCGGTGGCGGTGTCGCTGCAACGGAACGGGGTTGGAGGTCGGAGGTCAGCCTCAGCACAGCTCACCAGCCAGTAGGTTACCATATTTCCTTTCCCCTTTAACTCCACCTCTCCTCGGAGCTCAAGATGAAATGTTTTGAAGGTCTCCAGGATTTCGCGTGTCGCCGAACTGACGTGGATTCGCAAAGCTGAAAATAAATATTAGAGGAACAAATATTGAAAAACCACGTTGTGGCAAGTTAGCTAGGGCACTTCAGGACACTGAAATATTACCTTGACAAACCGCACATGCCTTCCCTTTAAAAGCGTTTGCACTCTAGCACGTTGAATCTACTGACCATCTCCATAAAATCAGCTTTCATATGAGGATCTTTCCGACCAAACAGCACATACAGGTTGATTCAAAAGTCCCTTTCACCCCCTCTAACTTTTTACCTAATCGAGGTAAAGATTTGAAACTTGGGATATATTCCTAGGTCAAAGGGAGTACTTTTTGGCCCCCCTAAAATTTTCAGGGGGGCCCCCTTGGGGGGCAACGGCCCCCAACTTTTAATTTTCAAATGATAAGACCCCTTTTGTGATAGCTCGTTCGAAAGAGCATAAAAAAAGAAAACTTTTAGCGCAAACCCGAAGTCAATATCTCAAACCGTTTCAAAATGGCGGCCGGTTTTAGTTCAAAATGCCCGAAAATTCACACCGGTTATTTGTCGATGGGTTTGCGCGAAAATCGGTATGTAGGGGTATTTTGACACGAGAAAAACGGATTTGACGTTAGATTTTCAGTCAAAAAAAACGAAATTTTCAAAATGGCCGCCGGTTAAAGTTTAAAATGGCCGAAAATTTTCACCTTGGTTTTTTCCTGATGGATTTGCCTAAAACTTGAAACTTGAGAGTATTTTGGCTTAAGATAAACAAATTTGAACTTAGATTTATAAAAAAATCAATTTGTGGTCATTTGGAACTTTAACCGGTGGCCATTTTGGAAATTTCGGTTTTTTTGAAAATCTAACGTCAAATCCGTTTTTCTCGTGTCAAAATACCCCTACATACCGATTTTCGCGCAAATCCATCGACAAATAACCGGTGTGAATTTTCGGTCATTTTTAACTTTAACCGGCCGCCATTTTGAAATGGTTTGAGATATTGACCTCGGGTTTGCGCGAAAAGTTTTCTTTTTTTATGCTCTTTCGAACGAGCTATCACAAAGGGGGTCTTCCCATTTGAAAATTAAAAGTTGGGGGCCCCCCTGAAAATTTTAGGGGGGACAAAAAGTAGCTCCCTTTGACCTAGGTTTATCCCTCAAGTTTCAAATCTTTACCTCAATTAGGTAAAAAGTTAGAGGGGGTGAAAGGGACTTTTGGATCACCCTGTATGCAAACATAATGCTGCTTGCTCGGAAATTCGTGATAAAGATACATATGTATTCAAAATATGGAATTTATCCATACCTACATGGATCCATATTAATATTTCGTTTGAATTTCATATCCCTGACAAAAATATGACATAGAGGCGACAGAGAAATCTTATGGCCGGCTGTAGGATTTTCTATAGTTTTTATAGCTGGCGCTAGAATTTTCTTATCGCCCTTATGGCCGGCGATAAAAAGCTCTATCGCCATGTATGGCTGGCGATAGGAGTATCAATCGCCGGATATAGCCACAAATGGCCGGAGATAGAACGCTCAATCGCCGGCTATAGCCACGAATGGCCGGCGATAAATCGGATTTAGTGTCAAAAATTACACAAGAAACCGTGGAATTAATGTCACCTGGTGTTTATGAAGGCTAAAATACAGGGTGTTTCAGACCACCCGTACCAGGCCTTTTTCTCGGTTGTTTTAGGTCGTACGAAGTCGCGGACCGCGGGGTTGAGTAGGGAAACGACCCCAAGGAATCCGAATTTCGTGGTCCCGAAACCCCTCCACCCTCCCTTGGGGGGTAAAGGGGGGTTCACGATGCTAAAAGTCACGGTTCCCGACCGAATTGCGGATGAATCGCATCAGAATTGAAAAGCACGGAAAATTTTACGTGAAATTGACCCCTAAAAATCCATAATTGGCCCATCCAAGGCCCAAAAATGAGCCCCTAAAGAGGGGGCCAGTACCCCCTCCATACTTTCTCTTTGATCTCAAAATTGACGCACATTCTCCAGAAAAAGATGGTTTCCCAGGTAATCGACCCCGAGAAATCCAAATTTCATGGTCCCGAAGCTCCCCTAGCCCCCCTTGGGGGGTAAACGGGGGACCCAATTTTAAAAATCGGGGCTCCTTTCCGAATCGTAAATTGATTGCATCCAAATTGAGGAGCAGAACACTTTTACATCTTAAGTGACCCTCAAGAGTTTTAATTGACCCCCCTGAACGACAGAAAGTAACCCATGAGGAGGGGGGCTCCGCCCCTGCCAAAAATTTCTCAAGATTCCTCTTTGGTCGCAAAATTGACGTCGATGCTCCAGAAAAAGACGGTTTTCCAGGTAATCGACCCTGAGGACTCTGAATTTCATGGTCCCTAAGCTCCGCTACCCGCCCTTTTGGGCAGAAACCGCCTTTTTTTGGAGAATCGACGTCAATTCTGCGACCAAAGAGGAATCTTGAGAAATTTTTGGCGGGAGCGGAGCCCCCCTCCTCATGGGTTACTTTCTGCCGTTCAAAGGGGTCAATTGAAACTCTTGGGGGTCACTTAAGATGTAAAAGTGTTCTGCTCCTCAATTTGGATGCAATCAATTTGCGATTCGGAAAGGAGCCCCGATTTTTAAAATTGGGTCCCCCGTTTACCCCCCAAGGGGGGCTAGAGGAGCTTCGGGACCATAAAATTTGGATTTCTCGGGGTCGATTACCTGGGAAACCATCTTCTTCTGGAGAATCTACGTCAATTTTGAGACCAAAGAGAAATTATGGAGGGGGGTACTGTCTCCCTCTTTAGGGGGTCAATTTTGGGCCTTGGATGGGGTGATTATGGATTTTTAGGGGTCAATTTCACGTAAAATTTTCCGTGCTTTTCAATTCTGATGCGATTTATCCGCAATTCGGTCGGGAACCGTGACTTTTAGCATCGTGACCCCCTTTTCACCCCCCGAGGAGGGTGGGGGGTTTCGGGACCACGAAATTCGGATTCCTTGGGGTCAAATCCCTATTCAACCCCGCGGTCCCCGACTTCGTACGACCTAAAACAACCGAGAAAAAGGCCTGGTACGGGTGGTCTGAAACACCCTGTATCTATCTGCCTGAGCTTAACAAGCGTCGTCGCTCCATTAAGATGTTTACAAAAATGGCCACATCTCGCAAACAAAACATTTCCAGGCTAGCTTAATCTATCGATGGATGCGGAATCAAACGAACTATCGATTAAACAACTTTTTATTCAAATCAAAATAGAGCCCTTTTCTGATATTTGCAGATTTGTAAGAATGGATGAATTTAAAAATCGAAAATTGGCAATAATGCATGTTAAAATTAATGGGACATTAAAATCATGAAGATAGCTTTGAATTCCGCATTTTTTAGACAATTTTCGTCTAAACCGCGACTTCATAGCTCAATTTTAGTGCCACCCTCGGAATTTTCACGGATCCATAACTTGGCAACGCTGTAGCGTGCGGGGAGAATTTTTTGTGAACTTGCCATTGCCGGAAAGAGGCGTGGCCTGTGATAGAGAACAGCATATCCAACTCCGGGAAAAATCCATGAGGGGGGCAAAATCGCCACTTTAAATAACCCCTCTTTCCAATCGTGAGTGGCTCAGCCACCTAGGCCTTTTCAATTCATAAGGGGGGCAAAATCGCCGATTTTGAATAATCCTCTTTTATTGGCCGCACTACGTCTATAAAGGCACTCCAGCTCCCGTGCCCGGATCCGCTGCCTTGAGCGCCCATCTCGTTGAATGCTACCAGTGAGGAACTAACTTTAATTCCTTTGAAAAGATCGAGATTTCACTTGAACAACGATGGTTTTACTTACGCTGGCCTGCAGATTCCATTCTTGATGCTGTATTGACAGTATCGCCGAAAAGGCAGTAGTGAGGCATCTTTTGCCCGACAACACCTGCACATACAGGGCCTAAAAAATGGCAGAAATTCCGAGTTGAAAATAATGAAAATTGAGAATAATCATTACAATAATTATTTGTAAAATTGGTGTATGCAAAATCGGCAACCCCCCCCCCCTTGATTTTGACCAATTTCAATGTCACGTACTCCTTACTATAGGATCCGCATTTCTCCAAAATTTCAAGGCCTAAAATGGATTTCTTGCTGCTGGGTAGCGTTGCCAAGTTGAACACCATTAAGTTTTTTTTTTTTTTTTTTGAGAGCTTGCGCACTCTAGGTATAGTTCATTGGCCTTAGTCGTGTAGACAAACAGCCACCGCTAAATGATGGGAAGATTACAACAACAGTAGAAACAGAAGTACAAAGGAAGAAACGAAGGAAGAAACGAAGAGAAACATCCATGCCACTCCACGGTGACAAGATCTGAGACCATCAAATCTTGCCACCGAGGCCGGGATTCGAACCCGGGACATCTAGGTCTGTGATCAGTTGCGCTAACCACTGGACCAACCGATGTCGGCCACCATTAAGTTCAATATCTTTTGAACGAAAAAAGATCGATACTGAGGTGCGGTTTTCGCTTAAATTCTTTAAAAATTGCGTTCTTTTGAAATACTAGCCGTTCTGGACGCGCTTTGCGCGTACGTCACGGCCAGCCAAGGGGCTGCGCCCCCTGGACCCCCGATCACTCGCTACGCGAGTGACATTCGGCTCGCTCAGCGAGCCATTTTTCTCAGTGATTGGACATTATTGATCATTAAGATGTATACATTTTGGAGACTCTGGAGGCAAAAATGATTTCGTGCTGGAGCGTGCCATCATTTACACATGAATAGATGTGTGGAGATGAAGCGACGATGGGGATCGATCATTTCTTCAAAAACGCATTTGACTGGGACGTCATCCCATCGGGTGGCGGAAAAAGACAATCTAGGGACCCCCCTCCACGATTTGACTTGCTGAAGTAGCGAAAGTTTATCTTTACCTTATAAGAAGATTATCGGTGGCGTAGGGGTCTAAAAACTGCTCAACGATAGTATAGTCCGAGTTCCGAATCGCAATGAGCCCACTCGTGTTTTTTTCTTATACTTTCATCGCATATAAATTTCTCTGATGTTTTTGTTTTATTCTCTCTGATTGCATATATTAGTAATCATATCCTCATTCCGTTTCCTTTCCATTTCCTTTTTCCCTTTCTGTAGCATCTGTGTCCATTTTCAATTATTATTTTAAAATAGCTTTCCCCTAGTATGCAATTGATGCTTCAAACGGAATCAATTGTTTAAATGACATTTCCGGCTAAATCATGGGGTTTCCCAGCAAGGCAGCCTCTTGTACCTCCCGGACTCTATTGTTGCCAGAAAAGTTGCTTTTTTGGCACTTTTCCGAATCCAAATCCATGTAAAATTTTCACATTTATCGCACAATCTGGCAACCTCTCGAGTGAAATAGAAAAAGGTAGAATCGCTGAAAGTCTGAATCCTTCGAAGTTTATATTAATGATGATGATGCATTTAAGTTGATCGTTAAGGTAACTTAAGATTGCAATGCATCTTTCACACTTTCTTATAGGGGCCAATTTTACAATTTTGTTTTCTATATTTTACTAAATTTTCAGTGCAGTCTTACCATTTCGTTCACGAAGTGCTCCAATTTAAAATTGACGGTTCTAAACAAAACTAAAAATTAAGTATAATGGAAAACAAAATGGTACGTAACAAAATCCCGAATCGACGGTTCTAAACAAAACTATTCATTCTTCTGTAGAAGGGAGAGGGGGGGGCAGCGGGCCCACCCACCCCTTTGACCGAGGATAACTCGAAAATAAAAAGTCGTAGCGACATCTAGTTTGTGCCAAAAAGTTTCTTTTTTATCACCTATTTCTGACGATGTATCACGATAAAGGGGTGTTCCATTTGAAAATTTCGAGTTAGTGTGCGCCCCTCGTGGGAGGAACGCTCCTTCAAAATCTTGGATGTGCCAAAAATTAGCTCTTATTGATCTAGGAGCATTCCCAAAATTTCGTTTTGTTACATGCATGCGTTCAAAAGTTAAAGGGGGGGTGTATTTTCGCTCACCCTGTATAAAGCTATCGTACCGAGATTTCATCAAAACTTTACAAAAACAACTGTCGAAGCGATTTCCTACAACCTTGGCAAGAACAAAGAATCATCGGAACATATCTAAGAAATCAAATTTCGTAAAAAAAAAGCCAAAAAAAGAAAATGCAACAAAAATGTACCCAAATACGACATGCAGGGGCGGGGGTGACTATTTGATGACAAGAAGAGAAGAATGTCGGTATCTCAAAGAAAAAATAGTCTGTAGAATAGGCCGTTTTAACCGGTCAAAGTTATCCGCACAAAATTCCAATTGCAGATAGGCTACCTACTTTTCCATAAATTTTAGTCAAATTGTCAATACCTGAAAATTAGCACCTAAATGAGACGCAAGATCTCATTCCTGGATCGCGCACCACTTCACGAGCCACCCGTTAAGACCCTCAGAGCGTGTGTTGCCTGAGATAGTTTTTCAGGTACCGCCTTAGATTTGGGACATTCCTCGCATTAAATGTCGGCTTTGGATTTTAAAGAGGGTTATTCAAACTCGGCGATTTTGCCCTACGCTTGGATTTTGCCCGGAGTTGGATATGTTGTTCCCTATCACAAGACACGCCTTTTTCCGGCATTGGCAAGTTCACTCGAAATTTTTCCCGCGCGCTACAGCGTTGCCAAGTTGAAAACGGGCAAATTTCGTAAGTGGCATTAAAATTGAGCCATGAAGTTGCGGTTTTAACGAAAATTCTCTAAAAATTGCGCACTTTTAGGAAATGACCATGTTTTTGATGTCGCATTAATTTTAACATGCATTGTTGCCAATTTTTCGATTTTTAAATTCGACAAATTTTACAAATCCGCGAATACCCAAAGAAGCTGTCTCCAAATTTGAATAAAAAGTTGTCTAATCGATATTTCGTTCGATTTCTCATCCATCGATATATTATAGCTCGCTGGGAAACTTTTGGTTCGCGAGATATCATCATTTTTGTAAACAGCTTTATGGAGCGACGACGCTTTTTGAGTCCGGGCAGATAGAAATTTCAGCCTCCAAAAACACCGGGTAGCATTAATTCCATGGTTTTCTATATAATTTTTGGCGCTGAATCCGAATTTGACCATTTCATAAAAAATTGTCACCAAGATGTTGCCAAATTTCGCAAAAATGGCTTAAAATACGCCTTTTTGGCGGATTATGGCCAGTGACTTGCCAGGAGTTGATCAGACGATAAAATTGGTTATTTCCACAGTTAAAACTCGTTAAACTTTCTACAAGCTGAGTCAAATTCTTTCTGCTCACGGCAAAATTAAACGCGCGACAAGCAGCAAACTGAAAAAAAGACGCCAAAATTGGCGCTTTTTGCGGTTTTTGTCTTAAGTTTCTCGTTTTCCGACTAAATGAACATTTCTTAGGAAAATCTGAATTACACAGAGTGTAACGACAAACTATTGTATTGTTACATATAAAGATAAGAGCCGCTTCAACAGCGGTCTCTCGCGCCCCACGACGCCTAACCGCCGTAGTTCCTTGTCCTCCCACAGGTCCTCAGTAATTTGGAGCGCCCTTGTTCCTTTTTAAGCCCCTTATTGCCCTTTCCTGGGCGTCTTCTTCACTTTGGTACTGTTACTTTTTTCTATTAAACTCCAATTTCTCAGAATTATAAAATAAAGTTGTATACTGAATATAGGACGATATGACTAATAATGGTCAAATACCGCCAAAATTCGATGATTGTACATAATTTTGGCAATATTGCAATGCGTCTTGTTTTGTTCTAATGAAGTCAGTCTGAGGAGTACATTTTATTCATTAATTTTTAGCAGAAAGTTTTCCATGATTGTTTCAAAATGTTGTTTATTGGCACGATTCGATAAAACTCACTATTTTATGAATTTTTCCTCTCTGAATTAAATGCCCTAGTAATGGGCCTGTTACGATATTACGGCACAGGTGAAAATTTTGTTAGAATAGTCGTTCCATCGTCGGCAATACTCATCATGGCCGAACCAATCCGCCAAAACCTGTGTGATGGGACGAGATAACACCTGAACAGGATTAGACCGAAGGAACCGATGGAACGACTATTCTAACAAAATTTTCACCTGTGCCGTAATATCGTTTTTGAAGCGGGAAGCTCAAAAAACCGCAACTTCCCTACGCAGATTGTGAAGTTATGAGTGCATTTCAGACTTTGCCGATGCGCTCATCGTAATTTTTGAGGCATTATTTATAAACGACAACTCTTATTTTTGCTCTAGGAAAAGTTTGCAACAGGCCCATTACTAGGGCATTTAATTCAGAGAGGAAAAATTCATAAAATAGTGAGTTTTATCGAATCGTGCCAATAAACAACATTTTGAAACAATCATGGAAAACTTTCTGCTAAAAATTAATGAATAAAATGTACTCCTCAGACTGACTTCATTAGAGCAAAACAAGACGCATTGCAATATTGCCAAAATTACGTACAATCATCGAATTTTGGCGGTATTTGACCATTATTAGTCATATCGTCCTATATTCAGTATACAACTTTATTTTATAATTCTGAGAAATTGGAGTTTAATAGAAAAAAGTAACAGTACCAAAGTGAAGAAGACGCCCAGGAAAGGGCAATAAGGGGCTTAAAAAGGAACCCTGGTAAAAATGGCAAGTGTTAGGTCAGTGAATTTTCCACTGAGGTCAGTGCAATTTGCTCTGAGGCCAGTTCAGTTTTCTCTGACGTAAGTGTTAAAGCACTTACCCAAGAAGTCAGCACTGAGGTAAGAGGCACTGACGTCGGGAGAAAGACTTACCTAAGGGCAGAGATGTCTCTGAGGTAAGCGGGACTGAGGTCAGGACTTGGTTCAGAGGGTAAGTCTCTGACATCAATCTTAATCGAACCGCACTCACTCCCAAAAAGTAGAGATGGCTCCCCCTTCCCCCACCCTATTTCATTTTCGTGGGGGAATATTTCCTCGGGACACGGGGACCACAAACTTTATCTTTCAGAGAGGCATATTTTGTAGAAGGTGGGATTTTCTATGAGGGAAGGAAAACTAGTTTAAGTAGGTAGCCACACTCTTGAATAATTTGTTTTACCCTCTTCGTTTAAGATGGCACTTAAATAATTAAAACACAACAAAAAATGAGATCGATAAAAATATTATCACCGCTTAAATATGTATTTAGATATATTTATTTAAGCATTATTTTTTTTTATAAAAAAAAATAGTTTTAAATTTGGTTTTAATTTTTTTCAGTCTTAACTGTTTTTAAAATGTTTCAGTCTCAATTTTTTTTAAAATTTTCCTACTTTATTTTCAATTCTTTTCTAACTTTTTTACTCCTTTACTTTCAATTTTTGTATCTGCTAATTTATATTTTTTGTATAATTTCAACTTTCATTATTTTTTTTTGCATCATTAGCTTTAATTTTGAATTTTAGTGCGATCCATTTTTTTTTTCAAAGAAACGTAACTTACAAAACTTCATTTACATGTTGATTGATTAAAAAAGAATAATAGAAAAATTAAGTATCGGATTCACATTCAAAGACAAAATCATCATTTGCTGGCAAAATTACCCCAATGGGGGCCCTGAAATGGTAAAATTACGCCCCTAACACGTACACGCGCAGGTAGTGTAGTGGTTCAATCGCTAGGACGATCACCGAAGTTAAGTTACGTCGGGCGTAGTTAGTACTTAGATTGGAGACCGCATGGGAACGAGCGATGTCCCCTGAAGATTGTGATACTTGCTTGGGATTGAAAACTCACAGCAGCCCTCCCTGATCGTCAAATAGTGACTTAACGTACCTGGCAGATCGGTAATTAACGAAATTTTTGTCTGTACAGTATTTCTGGGAGTTTCCACTCCGCTTACGTCTGAGACACTTAGGTCAGTGCCACTTACATCAGAGGCACTTGCCTTTGGAACAGACCTAACACTGAGGTAGCAGAACAGCGCCCGGCAGCACTGATGACATCAGTGCTTAGGTCTGTTCCAAAGGCAAGTGCTACTGATCTGAGCACTTGCCATTTTTACCAGGGAACAAGGGCGCTCCAAATTACTGAGGACCTGTGGGAGGACAAGGAACTACGGCGGTTAGGCGTCGTGGGGCGCGAGAGACCGCTGGTGAAGCGGCTCTTATCTTTATATGTAACAATACAATAGTTTGTCGTTACACTCTGTGTAATTCAGATTTTCCTAAGAAATGTTCATTTAGTCGGAAAACGAGAAACTTAAGACAAAAACCGCAAAAAGCGCCAATTTTGGCGTCTTTTTTTCAGTTTGCTGCTTGTCGCGCGTTTAATTTTGCCGTGAGCAGAAAGAATTTGACTCAGCTTGTAGAAAGTTTAACGAGTTTTAACTGTGGAAATAACCAATTTTATCGTCTGATCAACTCCTGGCAAGTCACTGGCCATAATCCGCCAAAAAGGCGTATTTTAAGCCATTTTTGCGAAATTTGGCAACATCTTGGTGACAATTTTTTATGAAATGGTCAAATTCGGATTCAGCGCCAAAAATTATATAGAAAACCATGGAATTAATGCTACCCGGTGTTTTTGGAGGCTGAAATTTCTATCTGCCCGGACTCAAAAAGCGTCGTCGCTCCATAAAGCTGTTTACAAAAATGATGATATCTCGCGAACCAAAAGTTTCCCAGCGAGCTATAATATATCGATGGATGAGAAATCGAACGAAATATCGATTAGACAACTTTTTATTCAAATTTGGAGACAGCTTCTTTGGGTATTCGCGGATTTGTAAAATTTGTCGAATTTAAAAATCGAAAAATTGGCAACAATGCATGTTAAAATTAATGCGACATCAAAAACATGGTCATTTCCTAAAAGTGCGCAATTTTTAGAGAATTTTCGTTAAAACCGCAACTTCATGGCTCAATTTTAATGCCACTTACGAAATTTGCCCGTTTTCAACTTGGCAACGCTGTAGCGCGCGGGAAAAATTTCGGGTGAACTTGCCAATGCCGGAAAAAGGCGTGTCTTGTGATAGGGAACAACATATCCAACTCCGGGCAAAATCCAAGCGTAGGGCAAAATCGCCGAGTTTGAATAACCCTCTTTAGATTCTGCGACCAAAAAACATAAGAATTGATACCCGCTTGACGTTGAATTATGGTAACGATTTGCGCCTATGCGGCGGCAACTTTTATCCGTGGGGGGGGGGGGGGGGGGGTGCGCTCCAGGAAATTCGGAATTTCAGACTAAACCGCACGTATACTGTAAACATTTTCATTCTATTCTCGTCACATTTCAGACAAGCAGTCGTGCTAAACCCTTCAAGAATCGATCAAAAACAGTGGGGAAACTTGCATTAAGGCATTATAAAAATTTCGAATTGCGATATCTTGAATATGTTACAGATCACATATATATGTTACGCACAGATCGTGTAATTGCCCAGTTCATGAATTGGGCAGATTTTTGCTCATTTCATGAAATGGGCAATGTTGTTGCCCAAATTGTGAAATGGCACCAAAATTGCCCATTTCATGAATTGGGGCGGGAAAAAATCGCCCAATTCACGCATTGGGCAAATAATGAAAAAAACGCTTATACTCAATTTGTGTAATTGCCCAATTCGTGAACTGGGGCATGAAAATATTGAAAGTAAGTATTAAAAATAAAAAAAGTAGAAAGTAGGAAATGATATCATGCTAATGTAACTCACCTAATTGTTATTGGCGCGGGTCCTTTGCGGGTGGCAAGCGGAATTGCACTGCACTTTATTCTTGAAGCAACGGAACTGTAAGGTGCGACACATAGATTTTTTGCAGGAGCACCGCTGGTACCCCTGTCCACTTCCGACGGACATTTTCCGCACCAATTCCCGAACACTGAAACAATCTTGCGGCACATCCTCCACCTTCAGACCTTTATATTTCACAACTTCAAAAGCATTTCGCGCTAATCGTGTAGAAATAATTCCACATTTACTACCGATCTGGAACAAGCCATTCTCCTCCTTCATCACGATCCCAATAATATTGGCTGAATCGCCGCGACCTCGGTCAAATTCGGAGACGGGGACGGTAACGCAATCCCCGACTTTGACTCTGGCTAACATTCCAACGACTTCAGAGAGTAGCAATGCAAAGGCGTGCGACATTCAACCCAGTGACAGAACAACAGCAGAGTCTCAGCCTAACATTCCAACAACCTCAGAGGCATCAAAGGCTCATCCTGCAGTAGCGCTTCGTCAAAAAGCAAGCGAAAGTTTAAAAACGCAGGCACAGAAAATGCTGACACGTGCGGAAAAAAAGTTAGCCAGAGTCAAAGTCGGGGATTGCGTTACCGTCCCCGTCTCCGAATTTGACCGAGGTCGCGGCGATCCAGCCAATTTTATTGGGATCGTGATGAAGGAGGAGAATGGCTTGTTCCAGATCGGTAGTAAATGTGGAATTATTTCTACACGATTAGCGCGAAATGCTTTTGAAGTTGTGAAATATAAAGGTCTGAAGGTGGAGGATGTGCCGCAAGATTGTTTCAGTGTTCGGGAATTGGTGCGGAAAATGTCCGTCGGAAGTGGACAGGTGTACCAGCGGTGCTCCTGCAAAAAATCTATGTGTCACACCTTACAGTTCCGTTGCTTCAAGAATAAAGTGCAGTGCAATTCCGCTTGCCACCCGCAAAGGACCTGCGCCAATAACAATAAGGTGAGTTTCATTAGCAAGATATCATTTCCTACTTTCTACTTTTTTCAATACTTACTTTCAATATTTTCATGCCCCAGTTCACGAATTGGGCAATTACACAAATTGAGTGTGAGCGTTTTTTTCATTATTTGCCCAATGCGTGAATTGGGCGATTTTTTCCCGCCTCAATTCATGAAATGGGCAATTTTGGTGCCATTTCACAATTTGGGCAACAACATTGCCCATTTCATGAAATGAGCAAAAATCTGCCCAATTCATGAACTGGGCAATTACACGATCTGTGCGTAACATATATGTAGTACACTTGCATAATGCATAGAGGGCAGCACTGTTGTCTCTCACCATGTGAAGGGGATGGCCCTCCAGACCACTACTCAATAAACGCGTGTCTACGTCTCAGCAGCATCATCGCCGGCTCTCATCTTTCTTTTCCCCATTTTTCCTCTTTTTCATAGTTTGCAACAGAATATAGGATCGGCCAGGATTTTGATTTTTCGCGATTTCAAGTTCACAACAACCTCAGATTCACCCCCTGCAAGCCGTATTTGGGTACATTTTTGTCGCATTTCCTTCGTTGGCTTCATAAGACCACTGTGAGAATAGGTAATTGAAAAACAAAGTTTTGAGAACATCCGGGATGGGGGGGGGGAGGAGTTCGAAATCTCGTTTTTACATAAGTGAGGCTCTTCTCAATTCCTCATTCACTCACTAATTTTTCCGCCCGTCTTCTCCCTCTCTTCCTTCCCCACGTAGAACTATTCTGCTAAGTGTGAGCCGCTTTATTTTGGGTGGTTTGTTTACTGGGTATTTTTAAGGGGCTATCTGTAGTCTGTAGAAGGCATTTTACGAGTGTCTGCTTCCTTGAGTGGCCCTCTAGGTAGCCTTTTGAGGGGGCCTCCTTTGGGGCCATTTTCAGAGAGGTATATTCAGGTGGTCACTTTCAAGGGAGGTTTTTTTAGGGGATCCATTTTGTGGGCCCTTTATTAGAGATAATTTTCGGGGGGTCTCTTTAGGAGGCATTCATTTTATTCTACTCTTTCGCATTGCTTACCCGAATGGATTCCGATGCGAACTTTCAGCTGAGCTTCAGGGCGATGCTGAATGGTGAATGCCTGAACTGCATCTAGAATCGCTAGAGCCATCAAGGAAATTTCTCTTGCATGGTTATCCCCGTTACGCTCTGGTAGCCCAGAGACGACCATATATGCGTCCCCAATAGTCTCAACCTAGAAAATGGTTGGAATTTTAGACCAATTGATTAGCAATCTAAATTACCGTGAACAAAACATTGTGATTTCATCGACTATTCAGTGAAAACAATCAAAAAGGACGCGTTACCCTGACTGAAGTAATTGGTCTATCTCTATACAGGGTGTCCCAAAAGTCCGTAGCCCCCCCCCCCCCCCCTAAGTTTTGAACGGTTAGAGATAGAA